CTGAGGCTGGTGTGACATGTCCATTGCCAGAGAAGGTGGGAAGGCATACAATACAAAGAACTCAGGATTTTGGTCAGGTTAGGATTTACATGAACCAAGAGCAAGGTGTCCATAAAGGACAGGCTCCTTCAAAAGCTCAGAGAAACAACCCCGCTTCCCCACCACCCTGGGGGGGGGGGCAACGAAGACACATCTCTACTGGCTTTCAGAGTTTATTTTTTATCACCCAAATGCAAACTTTGATGCTTCCACTCTGAACCTCTGAAAGCTAAGTGACAAATACAGTAGTCAGGTCCCTACATTTCAAAGCAGGAAGTGTCTTAGATCTTCACTGGTCATGCCCAATTTCCCCCTATTTGTTTCTAATGGACTTGAACAGCAAATCTATTTTCTGCTATTTCCTCTCTAGTCTCTGAACCTAACGGAGGAGCCAAGGCTTTTTTTTTTCCTCCTGCAAAATAGTTATCTGTTCTTATTTACTTCTTTCATTTGAAAAACCTGGAAAGTATTTTTCTTTTCTTCGCTTCTTCATCCTGCATGTTCAAGAACACAGTGAGCAGCCAAAGTTGGTTGAAACAGTTTCTGTCGAGCCAGGCCTGGCTGCTCCGACTTTTCAGGGCTAGCAGAGGTAAAGCGAGGCGGCAAAGGGCCGGCCAGACACTAGCAGGCCAGATGAAAACCAGCCATGGGAATCTGTCTTTGGGGACAGAGGAACGGAGCCTGCCGCTCTGGGTTTTATACTTGTTGCCGCTGCCTTCAGCTCCTCAGTCTTTGGGGGCTGGGAAGTGTGCATTCTAGAGGGGAAAGCAGGTGCTGCATTCCACTGACTGCTAAAGTGGGGAGAGGCACAGGCCTCAAGCTGACTTGACTGCTGGTGTCAATAAATTTGTGAGTTCTCCCTTCTTCTCATCCTTCCCTCTCCCTTCTCAGTCACTTTCGGTGTAGTTCCTTGCGTTCTTCCTGTTCCCTCTTACACTACCCGCTTACCCGCGCAAGCGATCCACTGAGGGTTTGCAACTCTCTTTCTTTCTTTCTTTCTTTCTTTCTTTCTTTCTTTCTTTCTTTCTTTCCTTCTTCTTCTTCTTCTTCTTCTTCTTCTTCTTCTTCTTCTTCTTCTTCTTCTTCTTCTTCTTCTTCTTCTTCTTCTTCTTCTTCTTCTTCTTCTTCTTCTTCTTCTTCTTCTTCTTCTTCTTCTTCTTCTTCTCAGACGCCTTTTTGCACCTGGCCACATCTCATACTTCAAAATAATACTAACACCACCACCACCACTACTACTACTACAAAAGAAATCCATTTTCTTACTTTTAAGTGTTGTGTACTGGTAAAATCGTCCTTTGTGAAATTGTTCCTGTAGAGTAAGTTAGACTGCCCTTATGAGTCCTCCTTACACAAAGCATTCTTAATATGTGTTGTCTTTTTTTTTTTTTAAGAGAATTTTAAAACAAAAGAGATTCTGTTTGTTTGACTTTAATTTCGAACTGTGTGATGAACCGCCCGGTGTTCATAAAACAGCGAAAATGTAGAGCCAGAGTCAAGAGAGACTGGCGAAATGCACCTCTGCCAGTTCCCGGGCTGGCGGATGCCAGGCGGGGCGGCTGGAAAGCCGAAGCCCCGAGGTTCGACCAAGACTAGTCAGGGCTTTTAGGCGAATACAGAGGTGTGCTCTGCTCTGGGTTTCTTCCCAGCATAATTAAATCGTGCGCCCGCGGGGCCAGAATCGAACTTCATCTGCTTGTTTAGTTTTCTCCTAATGCGTGGGTACCGGGGAACAATCAGCCTGTTGCACGCTTCGTTTGCACCCAAATAACTACCCCATAAAATCCCATCAAAAATCAAGATGATGCTGAGAAGTGAAGTAGGGAGACTGATTCACTCAGCTTGAGCGTTCGGGTCCTGCATTCATAGCTCTGGTAACAAATGAACAAAATATTTCCTAGCGACTTTCTCAGCAACCAGCCTCCAGTCCCCAGAAAGACAATCACTTTTATGGCTTCCTCTTTAACTTGCAACGCTTAGCAAGTCGCTAGACTCATCTACTTTCCGACCTTGGGATATCTGCGACAGGTCTTTGAATCACTTAAGGACCTTCACCTTGGTTCCCTGTCCCAATTTGCGTCCAGCACCAGATGGACAAGGCTTTCCCTGAGCTAGGTTCTCCAACCCGGTGCCTTCCGCGCTCCTGGAAATCACTGCTCCAAGCTCAAATGCTGAGTCTATGAGCTTTCTTACCTCTGTGCGCGCCTCCTGGACCATTAGCTGACCTGGAGCAGTGGAGATGACCAAGCCACAACCCAGAGGGTCGAGGAGACACTTTGCCTTCTGCTTTCAGCCACCCCGTGCAGTCCGCCACGCGGGAATCTGCGCAGCCAAGCCAGCACCCGACCCGATAGGGGGCGACAAACTGTAAGGTTTTCCCCGAAGCCTAGCGGGATTCACCGCTGCTTAGTCCAGTCCCGACCAGCGCAGCTGGATGTTGGGGAGGGAACCTTAGTGAAGGGAAGGATGGCGGGTTCTGTTTCGCCTGAAAGTCCCCAGCCCCAAGTGCGATCCCTCCACCATCTTCTGCACCACGGGGCCTTTCCCTAGGGAGTTTGGTGCTGTCTGGATTGTACTTTCTTGCCAGCAAAGCATGCTGGCTGAGCAAACTTACAAAAGGGTAGCTGGGTAGAAACTGCTTTCTTCGTGGCAAGGCTTCTCTTTGATAGCGCCTACTGACTTCCCACCTGAACCCTGCAGCCCTTAGCTACTTTGATGGATTTCTGGAACGCACCGGGTTCAGGGACAGAAGTCCTATTTTTGTTTTTCACACCTGAGAGAGTCCATGGGTGGATGATTACACTTGTTTGTTTGTTTTTTATCCCTTGCCTGTCTAGAAATCCTGGCAACAAGTCTTTAGAGGGTACCAAATCTCTAACCATCTAAAGAAAATTGATGGTGAGGGACCCTGATACCCCAAAGCTTCAAAGAACTGCTCTGTGCATTTGTCTTCCTCAGCTTGGTGTGCACCCCCCCCCCCAACAGCAGAAAGCTCCAGAGCCCAGCATTCCCACCTTAACTGACATCCGTCCCTAGGTCCCTAGATCTTTACTGGAAGACTGCTCGGTTGTGGACAGGCCTGGTATTCCAAGTGGGGTTACTTACAGCTCTCACAGATGGGGGCCTTTTAGGGTGCACCTCTCCCACGTCCCAGCAACCTCGCTGAAATTCTTAGGGCCTGGTGCTGCACTGTATTCTGTGCACTGCTAGACAGAGAAGTCTTCAATTCTTTTGAAGCTGGCTCCCTTCCTCCCTTCCTCCCTCCCTCCCTCCCTTCCTCCCTCCCTCCCTCCCTTCCTTCCTTCCTTCCTTCCTTCCTTCCTTCCTTCCTTCCTTCTTCCCTCCCTCCCTCTCTCCCTCCCTTCTTTCCTTTTTCTTCTTTTGCCATGGCTCCAACTCAATTCTGTTGGGTGTTGTCCAGTTCTGAAGAGCCTGCAGAGCTCAGAATTTATGGCTCAGGTTCTTCTAACACACACTTGCATAGGTTGATTGAGGTCCATTAAAGTTTCTCACCCCCTCCAGAAAATGAGGAAGAAATGGGGTCAGGGATTCCGAAGAGGCTCCTGAAGCTATGCTGACAGGGCCAGTCTGCACAGCTTCCTTGCTTTGAAGAGCTAGTACACTGGGGGGGGGTGCAGAGGGATATTTTCTTGATTTCTGAGGAGTATTTAGGGGTTGTGACTGTTTCTGAGTTCTCTCCAGGTCCTTTTTCCTGCTATTTTGTGACCAGCCCAAAGCTCTCTGTTTCTACTGGTCTCACTTGGAGATGCTCAGGTATTGACCCCCTGGCACCAGTTCAGATGCAAAAATACATGATCACCACTACCACCACCACCACCACCCTGTTGCTTACTTTGGTATTGCTGCAGGTATCAAGGCCAGCTGGGAAGCCCAGAAGTGTGCATTAATTCGGAGTAGAAGAGCTGGTTTAAAGTAACAGGTCCAAAGATGCAAGGACTGTGCAAACTGCTTTAGGTGGGGAAAGGACCTTTGGGCGGTATAGCAGGGAAAGGCAAGGACAGACCAATGTCGGTGGGGGTGTGGGGTGTGGGGGTGTGGGGACTGTGCGACTTTAGGACAGGAGCTCAGCAGCCATTAGGCATTTTGCAGGTTGTCAGATTGTTGGGGCCGGAAGTAGCAAACCTAACTCTTTCTGGCCGCTCCTTGTGTCAGTTCTTGGAGAATGAGTTTTAGTGGGTAGGCTTTGTCATTAGGGACAGAATCTGGAATGTGCCCCTCTTGGGTCATTGATATCACCTTATATTACTACTCCAAAGTCATTGTTACTGTTAGAATTTCTTGAGAGCGGGAGGGACACAGTAAGGCAGAAATGAGATAAATATGGGAGAGTCAGCCGCATAAGCCACCACGATCCATCTTTCCCAGGCAACCCAATCAAGCTGGGCCTCCTCTTCCTTTTCATCTTGGCAGTTCTCTGAGGACTGCATCCACCGGACTTGTCTCTTACTTCTGCTCAGGGCAGCAGGTGGTGAAGAGAGTAAAACACCTTGCCAGGATGAACTTCTACCCTCTGAAACGTTATTAGTAATGGTGGAGAGGTGATTGTAAAACTAGTGTATGGTCAATTTGAAATGACTTCCCTACTTCCCTAAAGTATGTTAGAGAGGCAGCAAAAGGCAACAGAAATTGTATGGTTCCAGGATCTGGCTCAGCAGGGTTTGGGATGGTGTATGTGTTCTTAGTGTGTGTTGGGGGGAAGTGGGGGAGGGGAGTGGGGGGATGGGTTCCAGAGAGGGTGGAGAAGGAGAGGGAAGCCCGGAGCTAGGAGGAGGAGGGGTAGAGTTTCTGGGCGGGGAGGGGGGGACGCCAGGGCGCGGCGACGGGAACCAATGAGCTACCAATTCGTGAGTCTCCTGCGTGACTGCAGAGATTGACGTGGAGGACACGTCAAATTGATTCTCGCACCCCACAGCTTCCCGGTCAGACGAATTTCTCCCAATCGGATGAAGTTCACCTTGGGCCTGGGGTCGCGGGCCTGGAGAGTGTCCTGGGAGCGGGCGGCGGCGGCGGCGGCGGCGGCGGTGGGCCCTGGGGCTGGTGGCGCGCTGGGCAGCAGCTCACTGCGCGTCTCCAGCCGCCGCGGCCCTCGGCTCGCTCGCGCCCTCCCTCTATGCCTCTCCGGCGGTGGCGGCGCCCGAGCTCTCCCGGACTGCGCCGGGCCCAGCTCCCGCCGCTCCGGCGCCAGGCAGCTGGCTGGCCCGCGCACGATGGGTAAGGGGCGAGCCTAAGGCGGGGCGCGGGAGGGTGCGGAACTGGGTTGAAACTCTTGCCTTCCTTCCTCGTGATCCCCTTTCCCTGGGCAAAACGGTTCTGCGCCCACAGTAGCCGAGTTCTCTGACGTTCCTGGTCGTCGAGGGGACAGTCTCTTAAGTTCAGGGAAGAGGCGAGGACACAACCAAAGTCGCGAGAGTACAGGGAGGGCTGAAGCGCGTAATGCTTGCCTTTGGTCCTGACTCTTGCCAGCTTGTACTCCTCTCTTCTCTCAGGATCAGAGCTGTCAAGGGTAGGGGTGGACCTGCAGAACCTTAGAGTCGCGCTAGGGTGTACAGTGCTTCGGGCCGCTAGGACACTCATGGCTAACCCGCCGGTATTTTCTCCCGTGTCTGCTCACTCCTACCCTGCGCGTCCGCAGAGCAGACGTATGGCGAAGTGAACCAGCTCGGTGGAGTGTTCGTCAATGGCCGTCCCCTACCCAATGCCATCCGCCTGCGCATCGTGGAGCTAGCACAGCTGGGTATCCGACCCTGTGACATCAGTAGGCAACTGCGGGTCTCACATGGCTGCGTGAGCAAGATCCTGGCGCGCTATAACGAGACCGGCTCCATCCTGCCCGGGGCCATTGGGGGCAGCAAACCCCGAGTCACCACTCCCAACGTAGTGAAGCACATTCGGGACTACAAGCAGGGAGACCCTGGCATCTTTGCCTGGGAGATTCGCGACCGACTCCTGGCTGATGGCGTCTGTGACAAGTACAACGTGCCCTCTGTGAGCTCCATTAGTCGCATCCTGCGAAACAAGATTGGCAGTCTGGCGCAGCCAGGGCCTTACGAAGCAAGTAAGCAGCCGCCACCACAGCCTGCGTTGCCCTACAATCATATCTATCAGTACCCCTACCCCAGCCCAGTGTCGCCCACGGGCACCAAGATGGGCAGCCATCCTGGGGTCCCAGGCCCCGCGGGCCACGTCAGCATCCCGCGTTCATGGCCCTCTGCACATTCAGTCAGCAACATCCTGGGCATCCGGACGTTTATGGAGCAAACAGGTCAGTTGTGATGTCTTCTGTAATTCTGTACAAAAGGGACAGAATTGAGGGCGGGAAGAAGAGCGAGGGTTTCGAATGCCCTTCTCCCCCTAGGACTGATTTTGGCTCAGAGAATAGTTCAGGACTGGTCACGGAAGCTGGGGGTCCAGAACCTTTTGTGGGAGTCTTCGGACATCTTGAACTTTTTATGACAAATATGGAAAATATTTCCCAAATAGAAGAGCAGACGCAGACCACAAAATCGGAGGCTTGAAATTGCACTTTTTCATTCTTGCAAAAAGAATGCAAATGCCTATCGCCAAATCTAAGCCAAACAAACCGCTCGGGACGCTGTGCATGGCTTGGCTCTTTCTTTAGCTTTCAGGTTCCTTCAAGAGCTATTGCAGGCCCAGAAACTCTTTTGAGAAAGAGCCACTGTGGTCATTTTTTAAAAAAGTATGGCCCAGATCTCTGTCAGGTTCAGAGGCCTTTTAAGTCCTGTCGTTAGAATAGAGGTAATAGTGCCCCATTCTCTTCAGGGACAGTCACCAGGACTTGTGCTTTGATTGTTATTAAAATTCCGCCAAACGTTGTTAGTTTCTGTTGGATGGAAAAGGCCGCCGGAAGTCTTGGTGTCCAGCCTAGGACGATACATGCGGGTGTTTTCCAGAAGCATCCCCTTTCTTATGCTAGCAGACAGTAAGCAGTTTAGGAGAAACAAACTGAGGAAAGTGGATGGCTTAGTCCTGATTTCCGAGGCCTTGCACACTGTTCATCCGGGTGGTTCTATACCAGAATAACACCGACCAAAATTTCCACTGGAGCAGCAAAGGGCAGGCAGGTGGTTTGGAAGATGACTGCAATGCCTATGCCCAGGCAGGAGCCTTCCCTCTGCTGGCGACACACCTGAACTGGGAACAGCTCTGTCCTGGGGATATCCTGGTGTAGGTCTCAGTGTTGTTGCCTCATTTGGGAGACCAAGAATGTCCCTAGAGCCAGTCCCAGGCCAAAATGGACCCTTTAGATAATAATTAAGACATGCAGAGGCTTACACAATTTTCGTGAAGTTGCACCGAATTAAAAACTTTCTGCGTGTCACTTCTGAGCAGGAGAGGAACTACCTCCGGTTGAGCTTCACTGGTGCTTTTCGTAGGAAGCGGGCCAAAGGTTGGGGGAAATGAAGAGCAGGCCCTCTCCTCTCTGATCCCTGCTCCGTGTTCTGTGTGAATGAAAGGGGAATGCTGCCCCCCCCTTCTACCTCCAAAGAAAGGCCTTAGGAGTTTGTGGCAGCCTCCGGGTGCGGGAAGGGGGTGTCTGGTAGCACCCATGGATTCTAGTTGGGTCATTGGCTCCTTTGCAAACGTCTGGGCTGGAGATCTCCAAGAGTGCACATGCTTCCACTCCATCTGCGTTACTGCAGGGGCCCTGTCTGGGGGCGAAGGCACAGCCTACTCCCCCAAGATGGAAGACTGGGCGGGTGTGAACCGAGCCACCTTCCCCGCCGCACCAGCAGTGAATGGGCTCGAAAAACCTGCCTTGGAGGCAGACATTAAATATACTCAGGTAACCAAAATGCTGGGCAGCAGGTGACCTTGGGGTGGGCAGGGGGGGCGCAGACGAAGGCCTGGGGTGAGGGAGACAGAGAGAAAAGAGAGAAAGAGCAAGCAGCACTGTCTCCTAAGCTTTAAGTCTGAGCAGAGAGTGTCTTCAGCGGCCTATTGTGGTCCTAAAGTCCCGAGGTCCTAAATTGCAGCAGCCCGACTTTCGAGGGAAGGAGAGTGCCTTGCATTGTGATCAAACAGATAGACAGGCAGACAAGGCTGAAAGCCCCCTTTTCTCTAACCCCCCCCCACTATTGCGACTTCCTTACTTTGTATCACTGGAGTAGACTTATAGAAATCTAGGGAGTCCCAATATAGAGGCAAGCGATGGGACAGCAGAGTCCAAGCGTCAACGTGGCCTGTGCTGGAGAAGTCAGCGGGTTTTCTGACAATCTGTCTCTATCTACAGTCCGCGTCCAGCCTTTCCGCAGTGGGTGGCTTTCTTCCCGCCTGCGCATACCCGGCTTCCAACCAGCACGGCGTGTACAGCGCTCCAGCAGCTGGCTACCTTTCCCCGGGACCTCCCTGGCCACCCGCCCAGGGACCCCCGCTGGCGCCCCACGGAGCTGGTGTGGCGGTTCACGGCGGGGAGCTTGCAGCAGCCATGACCTTCAAACACCCCAGCCGAGAAGGTGAGGGGCACCATCTGGGAGGTGTCAGAAAGTGGGGAGAGGAGCCTGGGATGTAGAAGAGAAAGGACAGGGAGAAAAAAATGAGGGAAGGAGAGAGGGAGGGAGGGAGGTCAGAGACACTAAAATACTAGAAATAAACCTGAGTTTATTAACCACTCAGCTACTTGCAGCAGATTGATCTCTAGCAGGTGTACAAGGAAAAGACATAGGGAGATTGGGGGAATCCTTAAAACCACCCGCTTTAACCATATTGAGAGACAAGGAAAAGAGCCGGTTGGTAAACTAGATTTCAGGTGTGAACAGAGTTTTTGACACCTTGGTCAAATCATTATTACTCCACCCTGGCCTCAGGTTCTCCAACCCAATAATGGTCTAAAACGCCTCCCTGGCCCACATTTGTGTAGCCTGCAAGATGTTGCTTTCTATAGTGTACCCACCAGTGGCTTTCCTGACCTCTGCGCCTGGACTCAGCTCCTGGCCTCTGTCAGTCCGTTTCTTTCTAGTTTCCCTTTAAACTTGGCTCTGTTCTCTTCTTGGATTACTTTTCTTCAGCTCTTTCTCTGGGGAAAATGGAAAGCATTTCAGCTTTGGTCTTCAGAAGTTCAGGTTCTTTCTTTCCCAGAGTACCATGACTTAGAACCTCATCCTCCTCTCTTCTAAATCTGCTGCCCCAAAAGTCAACCAAGAGATTCAAACCATGGGGTCAGCATGGATTAAATCACACTGATCCTGGGAAATAATTTACCTGATCCTAAACTACCAGTTATGAACCTGCTTATATTTGGGTTTCAATCACCAGAATATTTAAACTTTGTTGTTCTGATGTGAGGGGGGAGGTTCCAGCAGAGAAGGGGGTCCCGTGCACATAAACTCCAGTACAGGTGTTCTGGGCTTAGGAAAGAAACAACCTTACCTGTTTCACACCTACAGAGGCTAGAGGGGGTGACAGTGGGGGGTTGGTGGCCTTGGCCAGGCAGATGATGGTGACTCCTAGACAAAAAGAGCTATTTCCAAGAAGCTTTGGTGAGGCAGGATGACAGGATCTGGGTGCCAGAAGGGAGGACTAGGTTGCCATCCACCGTAGTGAATTGAAGGAAGAAAACAGCTTTTAAAATATTTATAGATTTTTACAGACCACTCACTAGGATATTCAGATAATGCTCATTTGCCTAATTATTCAGAAATTCAAGTGCAGAAAACTGTCAGAGCAGAGTAATTTATTTTAATTTAGTTTAAACAATAGGATAATACTACTTGCTCATTGGCAGGAAAATCCAAGAAAGAATTGCAAAAACAAAAACAAACAAACAAACAAACAAAAACGGAGACTATGAACTTCCAGTAGCTGTACATTTAAGGACAGCTGAAGGAACGCAGTGTGAGTTTTCACTCTCATTGATACTCAGGACTTTTAATATGGGTGTGTGAGTAAAATTTGCCACACAATTGTGAAGTGCTCAACTTTGCAGGATTACTCGAATTAAATATGTATAACTATGAGTTTGAGTGATTTCTCCTGGGTTGATCCCAAGGAGAAGGAAGACACTGGGAAATAAAGAGTTCTTTGATTTCAGAGGGAAGCACTTCATTTTCAGAAGGGCCATTTGGTTCAGAGGGTTCTTCCAGCCCTGCATTAGAAACAGGTGGAGCAGTGTGGATATGATCCAAAGGTGGTTACAGGAGCACTAACTCTAAAGTCCTGTAATCTCCATGGACAGGGATCTGCATTTGGATTTATTTCTGATTGATTTTCTTTATCGGACAACTCCCTTTAGGAACACACGGCTTCTCACTGCCAGTCATGTCTCTGTGACTATTGTATTTGCTTCCTACAAAACCTACAACCAAGTTAGCTATGTTGATTACTGAATTAGTAAGTTAATGTCCTGACTCACAAAGTTGCTTTGAAAAAATTGATTAAAGGAATTATTCACACCCAACTTGATGAATGATTTCTCAGGCTAGCATGCAAGCATTTCTGCATGCAAGGATTGTAAAAAGAATTGTTCGCTAAACACCTACTTTTGAAGTATGAGAATTACACACTTCTTTGGAGTATTAGTTTATACTCTTCTCATGGGCAGAAAATGAGATTTCAGAGATTGCTTCCTAACTGGTTTTTGAAAAGTCGAGGTGAAGTAATACAACACAGTGCCACTTATTTTCAACAATTTCTTAAGCAATTGATGTCTTCAAAAAAGCTACTCCATGAATTCCTTGTCATTAATTTTTGTTCAATTTATAATAGCAGAATTATAATAGTTAATCTTTTAATACAACTTGGTGGAGACTGTGAGTTCATACCCATATAAATATAAATATACTCATCGAAATAAAATTATTTTGATGAAAACTATTTATCCAGAATAAAATAAACACTGGAGTGTCTTTCCAGTTACCTTCAAATGAACATCTTACTGGTCGTTCAGTCTGGAGCCTTGAATATCATCAGCCTATGCTTCACAATTTAGTACCTTTGTCTTGGGGAATGCAGGCAAGAAAGTAGAAGCAGTGTTGTTTCCCATCTCCTGAAAGGGAACTTTAGTTCTTGGCAACTGAGATGACAGTAAGGAAACCTTGTTCTCTTCATGAGAACATTTACATCCACCCAAAGGACTTTGTGCCAGGACTTTCCTCCCCAAGGCAGCAGACCCTACCACTGACACCCTCGCAAGGCAACAGACATTCAGGGCATATTTCAGAAACCTTTTAAGGTTCTAAAACCACTCCCAGGAGGGATTGGAAAAAGGGAGGGTGGATTTGGAAATCAAATCCGGGAGCGCCACTTTCTAGCTTCCAGTAAGAAAACTGGAACAAGGAAAACTTGCTATTTATAGTTGTTAGAGATAATTTGTAATTTTATTCTGCTTATTGCTGATCCAGAGTTAGCACTTCAGGGTACCAAAAGAGAATTGTGTCACGGATGACTAGCAAGCTCCTGGCTAGCCCTTTTCTCTTTGAGCCTCCCTTGGTCCTGTCACACCTTACATGCAATTCTAGTATTTTTAAGACTTCCACCTTAATTATGCTCCCATGGATTAAAGTATGCCAAAGTGACCCTTGCTCTAGGTCCCCAGAAGTACACACCCACATTCCCAGGGCCCCACAGACTACCAAAAAAGGGAGGGGTATTGAGACAAAGATGAAAGCTGAGGAAAATTTTGCTGAGGTGAGATGGAAGCCCTCTCCTGGATCCCGGCTGTTTATTTTCTCCGCTTGTCTCTAAGGTAACTTACTCTTGCCTGAGAAACCTCCTCCTCTTCAGATATTTTTAAAACTGTTCCTTGAAGTGTGTGGACCAGGTGAAAAGAAGTCTGGATACTGGTTGTGTAGTCATATCTGCTTCCTAGAGGTGGGGGACTCCTGGGGCTTTGTCCTGGAAACTCTTTAAAGTTAGTTCTTCAAAATCTTTAACTAACCGTGTGTGTGTGTGTGTGTGTGTGTGTGTGTGTGTGTGTGTGTGTGTGTGTGTCCGTGTACTGTTAATTTCAGATAGGACAGTCACAACACTTTATGCTTAAGGCTGAGAGGGCAGCTGGCAAGTCAGAGTTCCCTCTCACCCGAATGGAAGTGAGGCATCCTAGGGGGACTTGTTGAGGGTAGGAGGGGTCGGAAAATCGAAAATGAGGCCCTTTAGAGTTCATTCGTTTTAGCCTCCTGTGCAGGAAAGCCTGCACCGGGTACCCGGTAAGAAAAACAGGATTGCACAATCGTGGCATCATTTTCTGGCTTCCAGTAGCAAAACTTGGGCCCCTTCCCAAACCCTCAAATAATAGAGCCACCCCTCCTGATCTGGCAACCCCGCTGCGATTTAATCCTGAGACCCACAGGGCCCCAGGGTGGGCTGTGTCTGCAGAGTAATTCCTAATGCTTACTTAAAGCGCTTATGCTTGAGATCCCCAGTAATGCTTGGTGGTGCATTTTCCACAACCAGCCCACCTCCAGCTCTAGAATCTGCTCATCCCACTGGGGTCTGAAGTGGATCAATGGGTGGGTGTCAGCACCAGGTTGGTCAACTTCTGAAGTCTCTTTAGGAGCTGAAGACCTTCACAGCACCTTCTGCCTGCCTCCGTGGTCATTATCAGGAGTGAACGCCTGGTGAGGAGATCCACTTGACTAGCCCGTCTTGAGGCGGCTCTCTGCAAGGCACAGAAAGGATGAGCGCTCCTGGTTTCCTGGTTCCAGGCATTGGAAGGGCCAGGGAACCCAGCCCATGACATAATGGCACCCTGCTCCACTGCCAAGTTCTGGGCAGTGACCTGATGCTCCTCTGCTTCCTCCGCAGGGGCCGACAGGAAGCCCCCCAGCCCGGGCAGCAAGGCCACGGACACGCTTGGTAGCTTACACGGACTGCCCATCCCGGCCTCGACTTCATAGGGGTTGTCCCTTCGGAGAGCCACAGCCCAACGCAGTGGAGCGGCTGGCTGCTTGGCTCAGCTCACTGGGCCTCCGCTTGGACACAAGGAGCTGGGGTCCAGCGCTGCTCCAGCCTCATTCTGCCTCTGGCCAGTCCCGCCGCACTTCCTCAATAAGCCCCTGGGATATTTTAGGCTTTTCTGAATCTTGACTTTAGATGGTTGCATCCTCCTAACCATCCTAGCTGGGACAGAGACTCTGCATTCACAGCCTCAACTTAAATTTTCATCCCCACTCCTAATCTATATCCATCCTCTCTTCTTCCTCTTCCCCTTCTCTTTTCCTTCTATGTTCTCAGCTCATTTTCCTTCTGTACTCTCTCCTTTTTCCGCTCTATCTCCTAGTCTGTCTTCTTTTTCACTTTTCTCACTGTCAAAGGTCCCAGTCCTCTTCATCTACACAGCTTCCTCGACGGTACTTCTTCAATTTGGAAAGATTCCATGCACTCTCCAAGGACCTGTCCCTCCTCTATACTCCTGACTCCTCCAAGAGCCCACAGTCCCAACGGAGTGGGGCTTGAACCTAGGAGTAAAGAGGCCAACACCCTTTATTATAACTTTTTATAGTAACAAACCAGACTACAAATTCCTTGAATTGCTCCCAACTCCCAATCCCCGAATATTGTTTGGAAATCTTTTTTTTTTTTTTTTTTTCCTGAGGCCAGTGACTGGCTTTGCTTCTGACCTAATGTCACTTAAAAGAAGACAGGATAGGGAAAAGGAACGTTGTTAATTTTGAAAAACAAACTGCTTCAGGGTGCCAAGGTTCATTTTGGCTTCTGGTCTGCAAGGAATAGGGGGCGGGCAAAAACCCAGGAACCCAGGAGATGTCAGCTGAAGCTAGGAACCGAGACTATTAACTAAATTCAAGTTCAGGCACACTGGTGGTGGGACTCAGAGTATAATGCTTTTTTTTTTTTTTTTGGTGGTCCTAAACATATTATTACTGGTGAGAGTCTAACATCACCTGTTAAACATGGCTGCCTTTGAATAAAGGAAAGTCTGAACCTCGCTTGGTGAGGGAGAAAGTCTGTGTCCTCTGCAGTGTTTTGTGCTCACCCTAAGCTTCCCCATCTCCCCTCCTGGAATACACACGATCAAAGGGCGTTTCCTTGATTTTTCTTGATCCATTATTGGCCAGCTTGGGCAGATGGTGGTAGGAAAAAGTGACCCGCATAGGGACATTTGTCAGTGGCTTCCGCAGATTGATATGATTGTGGTTCCCTTTTCCCTTCAGGACCAGCTTGACAAGAGTCCAGGGAATGCAGCTGATCTTTGGAGACCAGAGAGCAGAGGCAGTTGCAGAAGCCACCACCACCCTAAAATGAAGTGACTTCTTAAAGGGCTTTTTCTAGCATTCCAAAAGCTAAAGGAAATTATCTCAGGTTACCAAACAATCAAGTGCTTTTAAACTACAAAGGAGTTTCTGGCTGATTGTCCTCCGCCCTCCCACCCCGCCCCACAGTGTTTGGTTTTCTGCAACCAGGGGAGAGACTTTCGAGTTAAATTATTGCTTGAAAGTGGCACTGTCTGCTGTGGCTGCCTGCTCTGTTCTCATCCTTAGAACCAGTGAGAAGTAATTTTCATTGAGTTTAAAAAACAGTAGTACCTGTTGAAGTTACTGGTCATAAACCAGTACACACATTCTTTACATAGAGACCTTTTCATGATTTAAAGAAATATATAGGGCTAGTGCTGGATTAACTTTTTCTGGATCACACAGCAAGTTATGAAGACAGAGCTTGGATGTAGAAGTAAGCGACAGAATCTCATCTCGTCTAAGAGTCAGGTTTGGGACTTGGACTCTGAGACCAGTCTAGTCAGCTTTCCATAAGCCTGCAGAGAAGAGGATCTTGAGAGTGGGAGGGAAGTATGAAAAATCAGCAGGGCCTCTGTGATTTCAGCTAGCCTCAATGCACTTAGATACATGCACCCTCATCTAACCCAGCAATTCTGACACTGAGTTTCAGGATCTTTTCTTGCTTCCTGGAGAAGGACTGGCTTAGACCAGTGTAGGCATTGCAACCTTTTCTGTAAATACAAGAAGTATGTATACTGCAGTTGCCATCTGAGTCTCATTGAGTTTTAGGGATCTTCCTGGAGAAGGACTGACTGGCTTGCTTAGACTGGTGTAGGCATTGCAACCTTTTCTACTGTAGTTGCCATCATCTGAGTCTCAGCACCTTTTGTTTCCTTGCATTCCCAAACTTCGTGGAAGCTGCTTAGGGATGTAAGCTAGCAGAAATCCAACTCAGGACCACAGAAAGAGACTTTTGTTTTTGTTAAGTTCCACCTGCAAAGAGAAACACTTCTCAGATCTAGATCTTTCCCCCATTGTTTTGAAAGCCTGTGATTGAAGGTGAGTCTTCAGCATTCTGGGCTGGGGGATGAGTGGGTGGAGGAGTGGGGGGGGCGGTATATGAGGGAGGCACACCATAGTCACAATAACAATAGGCTTTGGCTTTTCAAGTTAGTACTGAGGGATAAACTCTTCTGAGTTTGGAACTGTGAAGATTCCCAGTGTAGCTGATTTCAGTTCCTGCTCCATTGAGGGTGACTGAGGACTGCAGCCCCCTCCTTAGCCACTGACCCCCAACAGCGAGATGCACCCTTCCAATGTAGTAAAACCTGCAGGAACCATCAGTAGGAAGACTGGAACTGCCTTTGCTTGACTTCTCCAGAGATGTTCAGCTGTTAAAAGGGGTCAGAGAGTTATTTCTAAGATTAGTGGGAGATTTAAATAGCATTTAAAGATGACATTTTGTTTTCTGTGCATCTGGAGCTCTAGAGGAACTGCAGACTCACCATACAATTTTATAGTATCATGAAAGGTAGAATAATTTGAGGGAGAGTCACTAATCAGAGACTGTTTGTCTCTGGGTAGCCATGTGCGTTTTACTTTATACTTTAAGAACAACTTGAAAAATAGAGAGGCATATCAAAGAGAAAAAACTATACAAAGAAAGACAAAATCATTCAGATGGCCTTCTGGTGGTTTTAAAGAATGACAGTAACATACAGTATAGTCACCTAAACGAAAACTTAGTGTTTCTCCTTAGTTTTGTCGCTGCTCTTCCAGGTGAATGAATGCTCTTGTCACCTCCCATATGCCCTTCTCTCAGCAAAGGATTTGTTTCTGCTTCATTGATAGTCCAGGGAGGAGCTGTGCTGTGCATACAGTCTTGGAATGCATGTCTGCTGCTTGCATGCCAGCTACTTCAACTCTACCACATTCATTCTATTCTCTTGGATGGATACTATTAACAAGGGTTTATTCAAAACACTGTATTTGTAAAGAGGGCTGGTTTCCTGCTTTCAGCGACTAAAGGCAGGATTTTGTCCAATGGCTTGTTGGAGGAAGTACTTAGGATGGGTTGCAATAACTTCCCTGGGAGAAGTGGGCACTTTGTAGCAAGGAGAGCCAGCAACTCAAGAGGAAGAGGACTGAGGGACAAGAGACATGGTTCTTCTGGAAGGTAACCTGACTCCTGCAGATCAGGGAAGGAGTTGATGAATTTGGTTTCCTCAGTTTTGGGAGAGAATTGGGTCTCTCTGGGCCAGGAAAGAAAAGAATGGGAGAGACCCTGAAGGGATACTGATTCCTTACAGGCATGCCTTTCAGCTCTCCACAGTTCACTGGAATCCACCAGGAATTAGACTGTTACTGGTGGCCCTCACTCCCTGACAACTGCATTTCCCATTTCCCATTTGCTTGTTCTTGACTCCTCAAAAAAGATGTAGCTTTATTGAATTCAACTGTGGTCAGGGTATCGTTCATTGTCAATTTCCTGGCACCAGTTTCTCTAGCTAGAATTACACGGGCCAAAGTTTCTTTTCAAAAGAAATGCTACCTGCTCCATGTTATTTGGATGATATGAATTTAGAATCTTGCCAGAATGCATTGGAGGAGCTCATCTGAAAGACTCGTGTACCCAGACAGGCCGTATAATGAGAACCATTTGAATCACTAAATGGGAGCGACTTATGCACAAAGTGTACTTGGCCTTCACCTTCACCTCACTGTCTCTATCTAGCCTCACTGATGAAATGCCATGTGTCTGAGATACTTATGTTCAGATCTTTGGATCTCAACTTGATAAAGACATTTTCTTCCCATTTTTGTATACCCCCCCCCCCCCCAAAGAGCAGAAGTAGGAGCAACTTCATGGTCTTCCTTCAAGGTCATACAACGAGAACCACACATTTAGCCCCAATCCAGCATGGGAATTCTAAAAACCTTGGGGCAATTACAGTAATTTAGCCTAGTCACTTCTTTGGAGCACATGCTAGTTGAAAGTCCTGTTTTAACTCTGAATTGTATTTCTTGAGGAGGTAAAGCCTGGGATTCTCATTGAAACACACATCTGTTTCTGGGCTGGCCAAATCCAAAAGTGGAATCCCAATTACAGTTTTTCATGGGTGATAGAATTTCTACTGTATTATAATTTAACCACCTGGGTTGCCTCCACTGGCCCCTTTTCTTCTTAGGGATGAAATAAGCCGATCAAATGTTCATTCAGCTATTAAATTGCATTTCCATTCTGTAACGTTTCATTTCCCTTTTCTCTAGTGAGATACACTGACTTGATGAATAACTTCCAGTGTCTTTCTTACAGCAACTCTGCAGTTTTAGCTTTCAAGAGTTCTCCAAGTGCTGGTGGAGGAAATTTTAGTTTTATAAGATTTTCAAATAACAGAATAAAACGAAACTCCTTTAGATAATTAGTTTGATTTAGCAGCAAATTTAGGGGATAAAAACAAGACATCGAATGAATGGAAGGAAACCGGCTTTTTCTTTTTTCTTTTTCAAAGTAGATTTGGAGCTGGAAGCGTGTGGAATACATTAAAACGATCCTGGGGCAAACAAGTTGTGAAGTGATTAGCTCTATCTAGGAAAGGAAATATACTATTCTGGCCACAAGGGGGCGTGCACATTGTTTCAGGAAGATAAAAAAGAAGATA